AACAGAACTACCATTTGATTCTAATAATGAGAAAAATGATATAACATACATCCTAGAAGGAAGGTGTGTAGATTACAAAAAGGCATATATCTAAAATATATTAAATATTTAAATTCTCAGTGAGATATTCAAGAAATACAGGTAAGTGTGAACTATTTTATGACTTTTTTCAGAATGAAATTTACAAAACAAATGCTAGTATTACAATTCAATTAATTCTGGATGTTCAATATTGAACTTTGAGGTTATCATGTTTGTATTCCTAGACCAGCAATTTATCTCAGATTTATAGGATAGAAGTTAAAGGCACAAGCTCTGAAACCAGAGGGATTATGTTCAAATTGTAAATCTACTACTTACTTATTATGAGACCCTAGTTTTATCCAAGTCTCTAATAAATTGTGAAGATTAAATGAAATAAATGATGCATCAGTTCTTTTTCTCATTGTTGTGACAAGAAGCAAAGGAAGCAGTAGTCCAGCTCATGTTTTAAGGGCAGTGTCCATCATGGAAGGGAATGAATGGCAGTAGGAACAGCTCAGGGCTATGGCAACAGCAGCAGGAGGCTGCTAGTTCAAGTCTGCTGTAGAACCAGAAGCAAAGAATAGGAAATCCTGGCACTCCTTTGGCTTTCGTTTTCTCTTTTGCTCAGTTGAGGTCCCCAGGCCATGGGGTCATGCCAACAACATTCAAGGTGAATCTTGCCTCTTCGGGTATGCTTTTTTGGAAATGCCCTCACAGTCACACCAAAAGTGTGTTTTCTAAGGAATTGTCTTAGTTAGGTTACTATTGCTGTGAGGAAACACCATTACAAAGCAACTTATAGGGAGAAAAGGGTTTGTTTCACTAACAGTTCGTCATCAAAAGCAGTGAGGCCAGGAACTCCAGCAGGGCAGGACTCTGGAAGCAGGAGCTGATGCACATGCCATGGAAGAGTGCTGCTTATAGGCTTGCTCCTCAGGGCTTGCTCAGCCTGCTTTCCAGCCAGGGATGGCACCATTCACAATGGGCTAATCATCAATCACTAATTAAGAAAATGTCCTATAGCCAGATCTTATAGAGGCATTTTCTCAACTGAGGTTCCCTCCTTTTAGATAACTCTAGCTTGTATCATGTTGACAAAAAATTAGCCACCACAGTGATTCTAAACCCAATCAAGGTAACAATGAAGACTATTTGGTGGGGCTGGAGAGATGCTCTTCCAGAGGTCCTGAGTTCAATTCCCAGCACCCACATGGTGGCTCACAACCCTCTGTAATGAGATCTGGTGCCCTCTTCTGTATACATAATAAATAAATAAATCTTAAAAAAAAAAAAGACTATTTGGTGAAGGAATGTTATCACATCTTAATATTCAAGCTGTGGCCTGTTTAATGCTTACTGCATTTTCCCACACTTGCAGTGAGAAAGCAGACAGAAAAAAATGTGAAGTCTGAAGAGGAAAGGGATATGGCCCAGTTAAACCTGTGGACAGAAGTATATACTGTGGCAGTTGTCTGAGTCACTGTTATATTGCCATGAAGACACCAGGGCCAAGGCAACACTTATAAGAGAAGACATAAAATGGCAAGCTTGATTAAAGTTTCAGAGAGTTAGTCCATGATCATCATGGCATCACAAGGCTGAGAGCTTACATCCTGATCTGTAAGCAGGCAGACAGAGGAGGCCTGGCGTGGGCTTTTGAAACCTCAAAGCACACCATAATAACATACCTTTTCCAACAAGTTCATACCTCCTCCAACAATACCACATCTCCTAATTCTTCCCAAACAATTCCACTAACTGGGGGCCACATTCAAGCCCATGAGCCTATAGGGACCAATGTCACTCAAACCACCACAGCAAGGAAAAGAACTTGAACCCAGAGGAAGCTGAGGTCAAGGCAGGTTCAGATAAAGTAGCTGTAACTGTAAAGAGAATAGCACCATTAAGGAGAAACCTTGGATTCTGCACTGGACATTAGGAAAGGTGCCTTGAGGGCAAGACACCACTCATTAAAAGCTCTAGGATACAGCTTGATGAGTGGGCTGTGTATGGAGCTGTGAAAGACAAAGCCTAATTTGCAAAGGAAATTCAAAGACATCAGAGAAACCAGAAACATGAATGTCGACCAAAGAAAGCAGCAGGCACTGAATGGAGCTAGCCTAAAAGAGAAGCCATGAATTCTGTAGACGCCAAAGTTTAAAGGTGGACCTCCCTTAGCCTACTGGAGCCCACATGATGACCTCCCTTAGCACAGTGGAGCCCAGATGATGGACAAGAAGCTACAAAATTCAGTGTTTACCTTGCTGAGTTTTGGTTTGATATTTAGTCTGATCTTTCCTTCCTATGCTTCTGTATGTCTCTTTCCAAATGGGAATGTTTACCCTGTACCACTGTGCGCTAAAATTACACACACACACACACACACACACACACACACACACACACACACACACACACACACACGAGCACACACTTTTTTATCTTACAGGGGACTAAAGTCTTGCCTTGAGTCTCAGAAGAAACTCTGAACTTGGGATTTTGAACAGTAGGATAGCTGTGGGACTACTGAGATTTTGAAGATGGACTCAATACATTTTGCATAATGAGATGACCATGAGCCTAAGGACCCAGTAACCAAATGGGAAATGTCCCTTACAGGCTCATGTCCCTAATGGTGGGGCCTAGCTAGAGGAAGTCAGTAACTTAGAGTAGGGGTTGGAGGATAGATTAGCCTTAAAATTTATAACTTGAGCCAGGCAGTGGTGGCGCACACCTTTAATCCCAGTACTCCAGAGCAGAGCAAGGTGGATCTCTGTGAGTTCAAGGCCAGCCTGCTCTACAGAGTGAGATCCAGGACAGGCACCAAAACTACACAGAGAAACTCTGTCTTGAAAAACCAAAAAAAAAGAATTGTAAGTTGATCTCACTTCCTGCCTGTCTCAGCTTCCTTGTCTGCTGAAATGAGACCATCAGCCTCACTTTTCTGCCTCCACAACACCAACCATTTACACCCCTGTGCTGCTTCCACTATAATGGACTGTATCCTCAGACTATGAGACAACATCTTTCTCTAAGTTGCTTCTTATCAGCCATCTGGTTTCACTAATGAGGAAAATAAATAATACAAGTGGGTAATCATTTGACAAAGTAGCAGAATCTCTTTTTTTGCTTTGTTTATTTGTTTTTGGTTTTTTTGAGACAGGATTTCTCTTTGTAGCCTTGGCTGTCCTGGAATTCACTCTGTAAAACAGGCTGGCCTCAAACTCACAGAGATCTGTGGTGATATTTTGTCCCCCCAATATATTGTGCATCTTAATAAACCTATCTGGGTTCAGAGGACAGAACAGCCACTAGATAGACATAGAGACCAGAAAATGGTGGCACACACGCCTTTAATCCTATCACTTGGGAGGCAAGGATCCATACGGATCTCTGTGAGTTTAAAGCCACACTGGAAACAGCCAGGCATGGTGACTCATGCCTTTAATCCCAGGAAGTGAGCCTTTAATCCCAGGAAGTGATAGCAGAAAGCAGAAAGGTATATAAGGCGTGAGGACCAGGAATTAGGCTTTTAGCAGCAGTTCAGCTGAGATTTATTCTGGATGAGGACTCAGAGGTTTCCAGTCTGAGGAAACAGGATCAGCTGAGGAAGTGGCAAGGTGAGGTGGCTGTGGTTTGTTCTGTTTCTCTAATCTTCCAGCTTTAACCCAATACCTGGCTCTGGGTTTGATTTTATTAATAAGACCTTTTTAAGATTCGTGCTACAGACATCCACCTGCCTCTGTCTCTCAAGCACTGGGATTAAAGATGCGTGCTACTGTGACTGGCAGTGGCTACAATCTTAACCCTTAAAAAAAGTTAACTGCTATTGCAGGCAAATATATATTACAACCTAGAATAGTGCCCAACTCCTGCCTCGCATCTGCTTTCCTGGGATACAGTTTAACCGGAGGCACTAAATTCAGTCATTTATGCATTGGTATTTGGCTGTTTGGTGCTGTAACAGCAGAACTACATAGCTGAAATGGAGACCAGAGGGACCACAAGGTTCAAATATTTACTATCCACTCAAAAGACATTTGCTGATTTGTACCCTAGAACATTTTAGAATGGTAGAAAATACAATGTAGTAAGATAACAAGGCTGACTAGTTTCACAGTCAACAAATCCAGAACACTACACTAACATACAGGTGTTTTCCTATCTCAAAAATAATAATCATTTCAAAATTAAGCTTATAGACTCTAGGTTAAGTATTTTCCCCCAAAGGTTAAGTACAAATATAAAGTTATCTAAGTCTCATACCTAAGAAACTTACAAGCATCATATATTAAGGTACATACCAGACTGTAAAATATATTTTTCTGACTCTATCTCCTAAAATTGAATCCTATTATTTCAGAACCACTAACATAAAGTATCACAGAAATGTATAAAGAGGACTAAGGAGATGACTCAGTGGGCAGGTGCCTGCCTCACAAGCATGAGGACCTGAGTTCAGATCCCTAGGACCCACTCCAGCCTTGAAGAGGAGGCAGGAGGAAGGGCAGAGAGGTGGATCCCTGAAGCTCAGTGGCCAGTCAGCTTAGCCAAAGTGATGACCTTCAAGTTCACTGAGAGACCCTGTTTCAAAAAGATAAAGATGCAGAGCAATTGAGGAAAGACACCCAACATCCATGCACATTCAATGGTGTACATGTGCACCACTACACACACCCACATCACAACACAAACACACACACACACACACACACACACACACACACACACACACACACACATCACAACATATACACACATGCACATGCACACATGGAAAAGAAAATACATAAAGGGTAGCACAGAATACACTGAAGCTGCTTGCAATCTGGACGGCAAAAAAAATAATCTCTAAGACTTAATAAGAGTCTAACAGCAGTTAAGTATATTTCAATGTCTTACATTTCTGTAAATAAAATTGATTTCCTTGCCCACTTATAACCTACAGTATATGAAACAGTAAAAAAGTGTATTACCTGAATTGGATGTTCACTAAATGAGGCTGAGAGCCATCAGATTGCCAGTAAGTTTCTAGATTGTCATCTCGTAATTGATCCACTCCAAACCCTAAAAACAGTGAAAATGGCAATAAATTTCCATGAGAAAGTTATATATTTAAAACATAAAATTATACATATTTGTCCAGAAATTTTGATAAAGACAGTGAAAATATGAAACTTAACCAAACTGCTTCCACTCTTTCATCTTGATCTCGGCTCAAGAAATACCACTAATGTCTGGCTGTGTTGCTTACTGGTATACTAACTGTTTATGTGTGAGGCCCTGGGTTCAATCCCCTTGACACACAGGCAAACGCTTTGGGTAGGTGGTTTTTAGGCATCTTTGGGGATATATAAAGTCCTTATTTGCTCAAATCCACATTCTTACCCTTTTTATAAACTAATCTAAGAACGATCCATCCTGTGCTGTCCTTTAAAACAAGCAGATTCAAGCAAGCTCTGGATGCCATCCTTGCCTTTTGCTACTTTTCAAGTTCCCTAATAAAGATAACTAGATCTCACGATTCTAAAGAAAGCCCTTTTTTAAATGACCTATTGAGTTAAAGCCTACTTCTACTTATTCTACTTACTCTACTTTGGCTAGATTTTTTTTCCCTGTTTTATAATTTTATTTGTATCTTAGCTCAAAGAATTTCATAAAATGGTATTTAGTCTTAAACAAAATAAATATTAAACAAAAATCTTTTAACTCAAGACTAATTTGAAATTTGCTTCTAAGACATTACTCATGAAGTATAATGGGAAAAATAAATAAGCATAATCTTTTGAGAACTGATTATTCTGGATCTTTACCTCTAGGACACTGGGGATGATTACCAGTTTTCACTTCCATGTGTTTTCTCATAAGCAGAATGTCTTATGAACATAAACTCACATGCTGATGCCACCTCTTTCCTAAGGCTTCCAACGTCTTTATTATATCTGAGTTGTCTTAGTCAAATCAAGACTTAAAACAATGACAGATCTGTTTTAACAGCTTTGAGAGGTATTATGTCCCTAGGTAAGTATATTATGCAGAGGGAAAAAACTTTCATATGTCGTAACAGGCTTCAGTGATTCTTTTTTTAAGGTTTTATTGTGCCTGCAGACACTAGAAGAGTGCACTGGTCCCATGAAGTGCGAGTTAGATGTGGTTGTGAGCTGCACAATGTAAAAGATGGGAACCGAACTCAGATCCTCTGAAAGAGCAGCAAGTGTTCAACAGCTGAGCTCTCTCGAGTTGCAGCGGTCCTACAGCACAACCTCTGGAGATGTAACCAACCGTCTTATTCAATAAGAAACACAGAGCCAATACAGAGATGAAAGCCAAGAGGTCAGAGCAATAGCTAAGAGCTAAAAACCTTACCCTTCACTGTTGCTGTTGTTGTACCTCTCCGAAAGAGACTTACTTCCTGTGTGTCTGTCTTTTTTTATAGAGTTCCTGTTCTGCCTTCTCATTGGTTATAAACCCAACCACATGACCGCCTCGTCACTGCCTGTCTGTACAGACCTCCAGGTCTTCTATGGTTGGTACTGAGATTAAAGGTGTGTCTCCAATGCTGGCTGTATCCTTGAACACACAGAGATTTACCTAGTTCTGCCTCCCAAGAGCTGGGATTAAAGGCGTGCACCACCACCACCCAGTTTTCTCTATGGCTTGCTAATAGCTCTGACCCCCGGGCAACTTTATTTATTAACATACAAATCACATTTCAGTACAAATAAAATGTCACTATACACCTCTACACTGCAACATCCCTCTAGAGCTGCTACGTCAGCAATTCTGAGAGCCTGCCTCACTGAGGGTTTGTTTGATCAATCTTTTAGGTGATTCTGATACACGCTAAAATGTCACAGCTACTTCTCTAAGGTAGCATTTCTTATTCTTGTCTTGGCCCTACTCACCTTTTGGACTCAACTATGATTTGTTATGAGGTGGCTGTCCTGACCTCTACTTACTTGATTCCCAGAAAACAACAGCTCTCCCTCCTTCCCATGGTCATGGTGACAATCAAAAAATCTGCTAACGGATGGGGTCAGGGAATGGGCAATAAAACCATCCATAAGTAAAAACAATTGTCCTAAGGCAAAGAAAAACAATATTCCTTGTGGTTATGGTTACTGTTTAGCAAATACTCACTTTTTTCTCTTGGTCCTCCATTGGTGGTATATGGTCATATTGAGGTTAAGTCCAGACTGATTAAGGTTCAACACAAAGTGAATGAATGTAACACAAGCTGTGGTTTTAATGTGTTTATGAGGTCTGGATTAACCTTCCAAATGTCTCTACCCCATTAAGAGAGCATGTCTGGATCCATAGTGCAGACACCAATATGTGAAAGATATATTTAAAGTGTCCAAGCCATTTTCTTCTTAAGCATCTCTAGCAACACAATTACTTTCACACTGGACAGGGAGTTACTATAATTGAACCACATGCCTTAACCTTGAAGACCTAACAAGTAACATATACAACATGCCTTAACTTTAAAGACCTAACAAGTAACATGTGAGGTCAGGTGTGGTGGCACACACCCTTAATTCCAGCACTTGGGAAGCAGAGGCAGGTAGAGGTAGGCAGATCTCTGTGAGTTGGAGGCAGTCTGGTCCACATAGAGAGTTTCAAGCCAGCCAGCACTACATAGTATGTCCCTGTCAAAAAGACACAGACAGACAGACAGACAGACAGAAAAGAATATAGACTTCATAAAAGAATTCACCTATAATTATATCCTACAACTATTTACAGTTCAACTAAATGAAACCAATGTGCTTTCTCCTTGTACTTAAAATTCAAATTCTTTATGCATGTGTGCATGTGTGTGGTGTATGTATGTTATGTGTTCATGTGTGCATGCATATATGTGTCCATGTGGAGACCAGAAGTTGATACTAGGCATTTTCCTCTATCACTCTCCACTTTATTTTGCATGTATGTGTATTTGTGGTATATATATATGTGCACACGGATGTGGGGAGTTGCATGAAAATGAAGAAGCCAGAAGTCAATGTCAGGTGTTTTATTGGCTGGTTTTGTATGTCAACTTGACATAAGCTGGAGTCACCAGAGAGGAGGGATCCTCATTTGAGAAAATGCCTCCATGAGATCTAGCTTTAAGGCATTTTCTCAATTAGTGATCAATGGGGGAGGACACAGCCCATGGTGGGGGGTGCCATCCCTGGGCTGTTAGTCCTGAGTTCTATAAGGAAGCAGGCTGAGCAAGCTGTGAGAAGGAAGTCAGTAAGCAGCTCCCCTCCATGGCCTCTACATCAGCTCCTGCCTCCAGGATCCTGCCCTGTTTGAGTTCCTGTCCTGACTGCCTTCAGTGATGAACAGCAATGTGGAAGTATAAGCCAAATAAACCCTTTCCCCCAGCCCCAACTAGCTTTTTAGTCATGGTGTTTCATTGCAGCAATAGAAACCCTAACTAAGACAGGTGTCTTCCTCAATCACTCTCTTCATTATTTTATAGGACAATGTCTCTCACTGACCCTGGAGCTCATCAATTCAGCAAGACTAGCTGGCCAGCAAGTCCCAGGGATCCTCTTATCTCTGCCTTCCAAGCCCCAGGACTACAGGCACCCCTTGACAAACCAGGATTTTTACGTAAGTGCTAGGGATCAAAACTCAAGTCTTGTAGCTAGAGAGGTGGATCAGCAGTTAAGAACATTTGCTGCTCTTGCAGAAGACCCAGGTTCAGTTCCCAGCACCTACATGGCAGCTCACAGTTATCTATAACACCAGTTCCAAGGGATCCGATGCCTCCTCTGGCCTCCAGAGGCACCAGGCATACACATAAGTCTATATTCATACATGCGGGTAAACAATCATAGACAGAAAACAATCCTCAAGTCCTCATGCTTGAATGCAGACAGTCACTTTACCAATTGAACCACCTTCCCAGGCTCTCAATCCAAATTGTTTCATTATGTACAAGACTTACTATTATTTGGCTCTGTCTAATGCTTTCTCTACGCTAAGCTAGTAATTGTCCTCCTTATTTACTGCTTTCTAGCCACTCTAGCTGCTTCTAAAATCTCAAATGTGAGGAACCATTTCATTTAAAGCATTTCAATTAGCCGTCACATGTGAAGAAGATGGCTCTCTGAATTTTTTACACAACAGATTCTTTTAAACATTCACAGTTTAGTGAATTCCACTTCTAAACGATGCCTTTCTTACTTCCACAACCTAAAATAAACCTCCCAGACGCTTTCTTAAAGTTATTTTCTATCATTTTGCTATTCTATTTTCTCTGAAGCATGTATTCAACTCAGAAAGTCTTGCCTCAGTGACCATAACTGCTAGTTACAGTATGAATTCAAACCAAGGTTTACTAAGTCTATGATTTGGAAAAAAAAAAAAAAACACTTATACTATGCTATTATGCTTCTCAAATAAAAGCATTTTATCATAAAAGCAATTCTTCCTAGAAAACTATAGATCAAATAGAGTAGGTAACACAAAACACCATCATAATGAGTCTCTTATTTATATTAAATCAGAGTCAAAAATATGAAAAGTGTCTATTTCCTTTTAACTTCATTTTTCATCATGGTATGCGTTTGGTGTTACTGAACAAAGTGATTAAATTATTATATGAACTTTTTAAATGCACATAACTGTAACCTTTAATTTTTCCAGTCTCCTGGGCCGAGACTGACATATGTGCTGAATTGTGAGATTGTTTTGTGATGTGTTTTCAACTAAGCTGAATCTATTAAATATATTCTAACTTTAATCTGAGTAAAAAAATTAAACAAGTATTTCCAATGATACAATTTTGCAAGTCCACATGGTACCTTTCATCCTTTAGCAGACAAGCCAACTGTATTAATACCTCTCAAAAACTGCTATCAATGTTTAAAAATGATTAAGACTTTCCCTTACACACTTCTTACTTGAATTACTACATTTTGTTTAACTGGATTTTTAAGCTCTACTCTTGCCTCACCTCAGTGTGTCCTCCACAATTCTCAAATGTAAACAAATACTCTTTTATTCTGCTACTTCAACTTTTTCAATGGTTCACATCTATAAAATAAAACAAGCTGGGCAGTGGTGGCATGCCTTTAATCCCAGCACTTGGGAGGCAGAGGCAGGTGGATCTCTGTGAATTCGAGGCCAGCCTGGTCTACAGAAAGAAACCCTGTCTCAAAAAACAATGACAACAAAAAGAAAGCTGTTTATAACCTGTCCTCAGCCTATTATTCTCAGCTATACCATCTCACTAGAATCTGCTCCTCTGGACCAGTTCTCTCAACTCTTAGAATAAATCATGTCTTATCTATACATATGGTTGAGCTATACTCGGCACACCTTAAATATCATCTCCATGAAGATACCCTTGACAATTGTAAGACAGATTTAAATCTAATCACACCAATAGATACATTACATGTATTTAAGTGCCAAGTGATCTAAGTACACCAAATAAATGATAGATAGCAAGATTCAACATGTTTTCTATAAGAAACTCACTCAGATACAAATATAATAGTTTCGATGTAAAAGGAGGGCTTTGTGGTTTTCAGTCTAATATGTAAAAGCTTAGAAGCTGAAGCAGACCCAGGTTCAATCACCAGCACCCACATGATGGCTTACAATTACCTGTAACTCCAATCCCATGGGACCCAACACCTTCTCCTGGCCTCCATGGACACCAGGCATGTAAATGGTGCACATACATACAGACAGACAAAACACCCATACAAATAAAAACTTTTTAAAATCCCATCTGAGTTTAAAAAAAAAAAAATTCACTCCCATTTTTGTAATTATGAAAATGCTGAACAAATTGAAAATTAACACTTCTCAGGGCCAACAGAGAACTGACATCCTAGAGAGAACAACCTTGCAGAAAACTAGAGAGAAGCAGCTCTTATCAAAGCTCCCTTCTAGAGTCAGCAACTAACAGGAAACTTCATTACCTACCAAGACAACATAGCCCGGCTTGAGAGAGAAAGCTCTTAGAGCTGCACCTTAAGGAGCACTATATGAGTAAGGAGATCTACCTGGTTCTCGTTACAATCTGGAGAAAACTCCTAGTATTTTCTGCAAAAAGAAAGAAAAGTAATCATTCTGAAATATACCAAGAGTATTCTGTACCCTTTTTTAAAAGTCAGACTTCAAAGAAAGTTAATTTAGCATATCCCAACTAAAGGGAAATATGTAACTGTATCTTTCTCTAGTATTCTTGTCTTATAAAGAGGGAAAGGACCAAGAATGACTAGTAAAAAGTCAGAGCCAAGGCATGGGTCCAACAAAAGATTAAGACCTAGTCATAGGATTATAGAACACCTCTAACCCACCAAGTCACCACACATCAACAACAGCTATCAGATTAAAACCGTAAGAACTGTAGGTGTGGACTCCATTTACTAAGGAGTTTCTTGGGGCTGGAGAAATGGCTGGGCAGTTAAGAGCACTTGATGCTCTTCCAGGACCTGAGCTCAGTTGCCAGAACCCGTGTCAGGAGGCTCACAACTCCTCTAACTCCAGTTTCAGGAGATCTGAAACCTTCTTCTGGCCTCCACTGGCACCTACAAGCACATGTACATGGTTACACACACAGACACACAAATAAAAATACATCTTTTTTAAAGGAGTTTCTAGGGAAACCCAAAGATAATATTAGAGGAGGGCTAGCAAGGTGGATCCTGCCATAAAGTAGCTTCCCACCAAGCCTGGTGACCTCAACTCTATTCCCAGAACCACATGATGGAAGAAGAACCAACTCCTGCAAGCTGTCCTCTGACCTCCACACATGCAACATGGGACATTTGTAATGTAATGCAATGAGAAGAAAAGAAGAAGGGGAGGAGGGAAGGAGGAGAAGGAAGAAGATAAAGAAAGAAGAAACTTCAAAAAGGGTTTAAAAAAATCAACATCAGAGAAATTTTAGACTCTACCACATCAAGTACAGAAAACACAAAAGGTGTTAAGTATGTGTAATAGGATAGCAAAATGTTATTGTTAATACAAGTCAAGAAATAGAAGATATAGATTGGAGTAGGAGAAATAAAAACAATATAATTCAGCAATCCTATACCTAAAAATTTATTCTCCCAAAATGAAAACATACATCGACACACAAAGTTCTACATGAACATTTACTAGCTTTCTTTGTAATCACTCAAAATTGAGAGCCACCTCATCTTAGTTAATCCAAAATTACCCCAAACCTACCAGCTTAAAAAGCCAATTATGAATTAACTTTTGAATATCTATGGGACAAGAATTCAACTCAGTTTAGTCTGCCAGTTTGGTTCAGGTTTCCTTATGATTTTTCAGCTATGTATCTGAAGCTGTAATGAACAAATCTAGTCCTGGATACAAAACACAGCCACAAGGCACCAGGAGAGCAAGATGCAGACAGACCCAAAACACAATTTGTTGGTGGATTATATACAAAAAGCATTATATACAAAAAACAAGATAGAGAGGTCCCCACAATTTAAGTCAAAGAAGGATGTTAACTAATAGGACAAAAGAAACCTCACTCAAGCTGTGACATACCTAGTTTATTTCAAGCTACTATCAAAGACCTGCAGCACATTACAAGCAATAATGACTCCAATGTCCGAATCAAAAGCTTCACATACTACTCTAATGGTTTTCTTTACTTACAGAAGTACCTGGGAAACTGTGCTGGATGGTTTTATGACAACTTAACACAAGCTGAAGTGATCTGACAGAAGGGAACCTCAATTAAGAAAATTCCTGGGGCTGGAGAGATGGCTCAGAGGTTAAGAGCACAGAAGGGAACCTCAATTAAGAAAATTCCTGGGGCTGGAGAGATGGCTCAGAGGTTAAGAGCACTGACTGCTCTTCCAGAGGTCCTGAGTTCAATTCCCAGCACCCACATGGTGGCCCACAACCATCTGTAATGAGATCTGGTGCCCTCTTCTGTGTACATAATAAATAAATAAATCTTAAAAAAAAAAAAAAAAAGGAAAAAAAAAGGAAATTCCTCCTGTGGGGCATAGTGGCACACACCTTTAATCCCAACACTCGGTAGGCAGATCTCTGTGAGTTCAAGACCAGCCTGGTCTACAGATCGAGTTCCAGGACAGCTAGGACTACACAAAGAAATCCTGTCTTAAAATCAAACAAACAAAATAATAATAGTAACAATAGACTAAGATGTAGAAATGTAAGCCAAATAAACCCTTTCCTCCCCAATTTACTTTTGATCATGGCATTTCATCACAGCAATAGTAACCCTGACTAAGTCAGAAATTACACCAAGAAAAATGACCAGGGTTCAATCATAGGTAGCAATTAAAGATAGCTGCATTCATGTCAAATGGAATTCCCACAGAATCAGAAATAAAAAGGAACATCCTACCAATACCTACAACAGCAAAACTCACAAGCACACTACACTAAGTGACAGAAGCCAGACTCCAATTTCCATACTATATGACTATATTCATATAGAATTCTTCAGCTGGGCAGTGGTGGCTCAGGCCTCTAATGCCAGCACTCAGGAGGAAGAGACAGGTGGATCTCTGAGTTTGAGGCCAGCCTGGTCTACAGAGTGAGTTCTAGGACAGCCAGGGTTACAGAGAGAAACTCTGTCTCAAAAACTCAAAAAAAAAAAAAAGAAAGAAAGAAAGAAAAGAAAAAAAGAAGAGAAGAGAAAGCCACACATCTATAAAAGAAAACAGTGATGATTATCACAGCGCCGGGGTTGCCTCACCTGGTTTGCACGATGAGAGTGACCAAACAGCTTGGGACCCAATTTCCCTCACTGTCGCGGTCCTTTCCAACTGCTTAGGATCAGCACCAGGAGGTGTCTTGTTCGGTGTCGTCATTTTTAAATTATTCTGTGGAGAAACAAGCAATATTCATTATTCCAAGACTTGACTATCTTTCTGCAAAATGTAAAAACAAAAGTTCAGTGCCGAAGAAGCAGAAGGATCGGAGTTCAAGGCCAACCTGCTGTACACGGCGAGCTCAAGGACTACAAAGAGACCCTGTCTCAAAAAATAAAATAAAATAAAATAAATTTTTTTTTTTTTTTTTTTTGGTTTTTCGAGACAGGGTTTCTCTGTGTAGCTTTGCGCCTTTCCTGGTACTCGCTTTGGAGACCAGGCTGGCCTCGAACTCCAAGAGATCCGCCTGGCTCTGCCTCCCGAGTGCTGGGATTAAAGGCGTGCGCCACCACCGCCCGGCAAAATAAAATAAATTTTAATGGCAAAATAATCACTCATATTCCCTTCATCTTTCATACCGTTTGCTAATCCTAGTAAACCTACGAAAATATGAAGAAAAAAAAAACTTCTTGGAAAGTTACGAGTATGTTGAACTGCTTTGATAACTGTTATGGATACTCTATTGTAAATTCTAAGCAAAACCAAGAGAACTATAGACCATCTCCTTGACACGTCGCTTTGGATTCCAAGCTATCCCTGTCACCGCCTCACAATCATCATTTAAGTAATCACAGAGACATTATAAATTCCGTTAAACCCTGAATGCCCTGCCATCGGGGAGGAGGGAAGAAGGCCCATCTCGACAGCAGAACACACTAAAACGACCAACCAAGATAAACGAAAGGCTAGGAGAGGAATGGGGTCCTGGCCTTAAAGAATGGGATCCTGCCTGACACCGCTAGTCTACCAGATCCGCTAAGGCTCCACCGCAGACCCACCAGGCCCGAGGAGACAGCAAGCTTACCGCCACCGAGAACGGGGAGGAGGACTCCGCTGCGCCCGCAGAGGACGGTTCTCGAAACCGAGGAAGAGCCGCGCTCTTACAGGTCTGCCACAGCTCCGTTTCTCCGGGCTTGCTGCAGGTCCGCACCACTCCCACTGCGGCTCAGCGATTCTGGGCTCCCTCAGTTAATTGAGTCGCAGCACAATGACGTCATAGCGCCCACACGCCCTCGGGGCGCCGACTCCGCGCTCTGTCGCGCATGCGCACTACGTTCTCAGCCCTTGCGCGAGGCGGCGGCTGGAGACCGCCATCTTGGCCGCTGGCGGTAAGAACACGTTGTGCGGCTGAGGCGTGAAGGCGAGCGCTGCTTTGGCTCCTGCACGCCCCACTGTAAGGGGACCGTCGTCTGCAGGTACGTGAGTAGGTGGGAGGGGTCTGGCGTTCGGCGACCGACTGCCACCGTGGGAAGACTATGGGGGACGCTCTCGGAAGCGCCTGTGGTTAGGCCTCTATAGCGGGGACCGTAGCGCGTGGCAACCGGCTCCGGCTGCACATCTGGGACTGCTGGCTCCTCGTGGGTCTGTTCAGCCATCCCGGCCTCGAGCCTGTTACACTCCAAACCCTGACAGCTGCCACGAGAGTGGTCCCAGATGCCATCGCCACAGGCATCCACCCTCCACCGAGCCTCCCCTTCCCCCTGCTCCCACCCTGGAGCTAAGCCTTCTGTGGAGGAAGACACCTTCGGAACCTACCGCACCCGGCAGAGCCCCCAGCCTCCTCTCACAGTCAGATGGCTACGTTGTCACATAGCCATTTGGTTGTGGAAAGCCGTGGTTTTTCTTGTGCCTTTTAATGATTGTGGAGTGAGTCACGGCATCTTGCCGCCATGAAGTCCAGGACTCTTGGCCACTCCCAGGCTTTATAGAAATGATGGGCAAATGTTCTACTTTTCTCAGAGAGCGACGTATACTCAGTTGGTACTGGAATTGGCCCAAGTGAATTTCCTAGTTGAATGCCTGTCTATAGGACTTTGGAGAGGCATTTTGTAGCACTCCTTACTCTTCCCACTAGTGACTTAATCTGTTTTTTGGTTTTTTTTCGTTTGTTACATCTTAAGCTTCTTGACATCAGGGATGGTGTCTTTATTCAAAATATCTTTAGCCTTTCAAGGCGCAATACATTGTAGGCATTTAGTATTTGTTGCAAATGAATGATGGCCAAAGCTGAATTCCTACATTCCATGAACTACATAAGTATTTTCTCTTTTTTGATGGTAAAATTGGTAACTAAGGAATAACTCTCAAAACAGATTTTGTTGGTTTACCCTTTTCTTCTCAGGGACTACTAACTAGGGAGTTAGGATAGTGACACCTGCCTTGTAGTCACTGGGCCTGAAACTACTCAGCATACAGGCCAGTAACGTAGGTGTTACTGTCCTGTGTCTGTCAGTTGATAGTTAATGTATTCAGTATAATCAGAAGTTTTTTATATATATTTGAACCAAAATGTGCTTAAGGTTTTACTTTTTTAATTAACGTAGCTTAGCTCACCTCTACAAACAGAACAAAAACAGACAAAAAATTTGTTTCACATTTACCAGTTGCTGAAAGGCAAGCCATTAAAAATCAAAGCTATGTGCCTTTCCCAACTTATTATGCTTTATAAGGCTAATTTACAGTAAGCCTAGGTCATAATATTTCATGTGATCTTAGACTGTACATGTTTCCCAGGTGTATGCCTCTCACCAGAGTCATTGCTTTAATAGTATCTCTTTTTAACCATCTGTCTTCAGATCTGAAATATCTTCAGACCTTTTTGTGTTCCCAAAAGTTTGTTGCTTTAACCTTCCTCTGCAAGCTTTTCTGTACCAAGTTGTTCTTATTGTAAAGAAGGGAACTCCTTTTCCCTAATTCTTGGAAATAATACGGAAATTGAACAAGTAGTGTTTACCTATGTAACGGTTATACAAAGAATCTATATTCATTTTTCTTAAATGTAAAATAATTTATCATTATATTATGTGAATGAACTTTATTAGCCACCTCAGATGTTTCTGTTCCCCATAAGTATTGTATATTATAGACTTTTAATAATTTGAAAATTGGATAGTTTTAGTTCCTTAACAAAAATAAAGACCAACATAAGCAATTTCATAGTGAAAGATTTGTTTATCTCTGAAAAGGAATTCATTGCCAGGTAATTTGTAAAAAAAAGCATTATTTGTATTGGAATGCATGGTGCCCAATTTAGTAGCAGCTTTGCTAAAATAGTAAACTTCTTAGAAAAGTCACACGATTTGGCTTAGGGTTTTAAATTAACTTTCAGGTAAAGTACAATCATTTAATTTCTTCTAACTTAGGAGACCTGGATCAGTTTTTAAAGAAGTGACCTTGTTTGTCAGCATAGCTCTGTTAAGGTTTCATTTTTTCATTAACGTAGCTAAAGATGTGATCTGATAGTCTGTAAGTGATGAAAACATTTGGGTCAGAGAGGAAAGCCTGTTTTGGGGGATGAAGAGGAAATAGTCTAGGGCAGCATTGAGGAGCAAGATTGCTTATGTCCCTCCTTAATCATATTAATGGCTATATTAGTTGAGGATCACAGAAAAGGCTAGCAAAATATCTTTGCAAATGGATAGTCTTGGCTTTTGGTTTCTCCATTATGTATGAAATAAACCAGAGTCTGAAGGCACTGTTAGGATATATTCCTTTTGGTCACATGAGGGATTAATGTCAATATATCAAACCCAGTATCTTAAAAGATAGTTAAATTTGCTTTGATCTAAATTCTGTGTAGATGTTATATATCAAGACTTAGGAGAGTCTTGAAAGAATGGTATGTATGTATAGTGAATTGCTGCAAACATAAAAACCTGGACAGTAACATGATGGTCACAGCTCTAGTTGTCTCTTTCCATCAGTAGTAGTCATTATAGTCAATTGGAAAACAAAATTAATCATTGGCTTATAGGAACAAAGAAGAAACATCTTTAGAGTGTGTGAGTGTGTGTGTGTGTGTGTGTGTGTGTGTGTGTGTTTTCTCAATATATAGACCATTTTATAAGTTTATATTCATACATATTAATTATTGAGCCTTTGTGTAATATTTTTAATGTGCCAAGTGTAAGTTTCTATCCTTGATGTTTTAATATTCCTGATTACTCATTTCCCAAAAGAACTTTAGCTTGGATTTATATGACATATTTTTTGCCCAAGAGATTGGATTGTATATAATTTTGGAAGAATTAATTTTTTGAAAATAACTATTTTATTATAAAAACTGAGATAGCATATTTTATTTGGTTAGATCTTTCGGGATTTAATGTTCTTCAGTATTTTCCCATGCATGTGTATTAAACCTAGGTGGGTTTTTTTGTTTTGTTTTGTGGTATTTTAAGCGGCACCTATTTCCTAATCTAAATCCACTGTGTAAAATTTTGTTTTCCCACGGAATAGATTATTTAGCTGTTCCTAATCATTTTTAAATTTTCCAAATAAACATATAAACTCCATATAATTATTTGTGTCCTCCTTTTATGCCTGTTTCTCTTTACGTGATTATATTGAATTTGTTGTAACTTTGTTCATTTACCTTTAATAGGAGAGCCCGATATTCTTTGTTACAATTATGGCAGACAAATTAACAAGAATTGCTATTGTCAACCATGACAAATGCAAACCTAAGAAATGTCGACAGGAGTGCAAGAAGAGCTGCCCTGTGGTTCGAATGGGTAAGGGTCCTGTTGGCCATCTGAGGGTAGAGAGTGGCTGGGGAAAAGCAAACAGGTGTGAGAGCTTCAGAGAGGCTTTAGCAGATACTGTGTTAATCACTGTTAGTTTCTGTGAACTACCAAAGTGAGAAAGTTAGAATTTATTGTAAGCTTTTATTAGTTTGAGACTAAATGGTCCTTTTAAAAGAACTTATAGATTGTCATTGTTAAGACATTCACTAATTATAAAGTCAAACCAATAGTTAACTGCAATCTTTTCTATTCTACAAAATTCTATAATTGAGTCACAGGGGAATGATTACCAGAATCTTTACATTAGATGTTGTTTTCATCCTGAAACCAATAAATAAATGTTTTAGCTTAGTGACAATCATTCCATGGGGTATTGCTAGATTTTCAGGACTAAGTAAATCTAGCGATTAAGAGTTGGCAAATTGTTGATGGCCTTTCAGCATTGGCTACATGACTACTGTCTTGTAGTAGTAACTTCTAGACTTTAGATGGTATCTGTTAATGTCTCCTGTGCTTTTCAAAAATTCAATTGTTTATGTCTTGAATACTGAGCTTAATTTGTATCTGTATACTAGAAAACTACTTTTGGGGGTTTCATTTACCTAACTGAAATATTTTATTCCTATCTATGGTGTGCCTTTCCATTTCAAAGACATGCTTTCTTTTATGAGTTAGTGTATGCAGGTTGCACCCATAGCACCAAAAACAAATTCAAGTCAGTCAACTTAAACACAATAATATTTCAAGGTTTACCATATTTTTACCGCAATTAGATAAACAGAATATATTGGCCATTTGCTTATTGCCTGGCAAGAATACATAATTAATAAATCTAGTTATTTAATTCAGAATGTGCCCCACCAAACACTAATTTAAGAAATTGTCTTTGCTGTTGAAACTTTTGTATGGGATTTCCAGAAACAGCATTTTCTGAATAACAATCTTAAAAGTGTTCTGATAAAGGAAATTGTTTTTCTTTCCCAGGAAAATTATGCATAGAGGTTACACCCCAGAGCAAAATAGCATGGATTTCTGAGACTCTCTGTATTGGTTGTGGTATTTGTATTAAGGTAAGTGATAATATTTTATTTATCGAGTCAAAAATAAAATCTGAAAATTCTAAGTACTTTTATTTTTTTTTAAAGACAAAAGTATAGGGCATATGCATTAAAAATAAATTTAAGGAAGTAATATTCTTATGACAGTATTATTGCTTTTTTAAATTATTGAAACCTCACTTTTATTACTATCTTACATTTATTTCGTGTGTGTGTGTGTGTGTGTGTGTGTGTGTGTGTGTGTGTGTGTGTGTGTGTGTGTCTAATGCGCTCATGTCTGGGTGCCTCTGCCACAGTGGAGGTTGGAGGATAATATGCAGGTATCCGTTCTTGTACCATATAGGTTCCAGGGATCAAACTCAGATTACCAGACTTGGT